AGGGGAACTCGTATCCTTTCACCAAACATTCTCGAGTTATATGTAAAAATTTTGGAATTATAAAAAAAATTACTGAGAAATATTCAGAAAATTCTACTTAAATTTTCAAGAGAATTAAATTGTAAGTTAACTATACTACGGGTGGGGATAGAACCCACGGTCAGAGAGAATTAAATTGTAAGTTAACTATACTACGGGTGGGGATAGAACCCACGGTCAGAAAAGAATTAAATTGTAAGTTAACTGTACTACGGGTGGGGATAGAACCCACGGTCAGAGAGAATTAAATTGTAAGTTAACTGTACTACGGGTGGGGATAGAACCCTCGGTCAGAGAGAATTAAATTGTAAGTTAAACTATACTACGGGGGGGGATAGAACCCACGGTCAGAGAGAATTAAATTGTAAGTTAACTGTACTACGGGTGGGGATAGAACCCTCGGTCAGAGAGAATTAAATTGTAAGTTAACTATACTACGGGTGGGGATAGAACCCTCGGTCAGAGAGAATTAAATTGTAAGTTAACTAAAACTACGGGTGGGGATAGAACCCTCGGTCAGAGAGAATTAAATTGTAAGTTAACTATACTACGGGTGGGAATAGAACCCACGGTCAGAGAGAATTAAATTGTAAGTTAACTGTACTACGGGTGGGGATAGAACCCACGGTCAGAGAGAATTAAATTGTAAGTTAACTATACTACGGGTGGGGATAGAACCCACGGTCAGAGAGAATTAAATTGTAAGTTAACTATACTACGGGTGGGAATAGAACCCACGGTCAGAGAGAATTAAATTGTAAGTTAACTATACTACGGGTGGGGATAGAACCCTCGGTCAGAGAGAATTAAATTGTAAGTTAACTATACTACGGGTGGGGATAGAACCCACGGTCAGAGAGAATTAAATTGTAAGTTAACATATACTACGGGTGGGGATAGAACCCACGGTCAGAGAGAATTAAATTGTAAGTTAACTATACTACGGTGGGAATAGAACCCACGGTCAGAGAGAATTAAATTGTAAGTTAACTGTACTACGGGTGGGATAGAACCCACGGTCAGAGAGAATTAAATTGTAAGTTAACTATACTACGGGTGGGGATAGAACCCACGGTCAGAGAGAATTAAATTGTAAGTTAACTATACTACGGGTGGGAATAGAACCCACGGTCAGAGAGAATTAAATTGTAAGTTAACTATACTACGGGTGGGAATAGAACCCACGGTCAGAGAGAATTAAATTGTAAGTTAACTGTACTACGGGTGGGGATAGAACCCACGGTCAGAGAGAATTAAATTGTAAGTTAACTATACTACGGGTGGGGATAGAACCCACGGTCAGAGAGAATTAAATTGTAAGTTAACTATACTACGGGTGGGAATAAAACCCACGGTCAGAGAGAATTAAATTGTAAGTTAACTATACTACGGGTGGGGATAGAACCCACGGTCAGAGAGAATTAAATTGTAAGTTAACTGTACTACGGGTGGGGATAGAACCCACGGTCAGAGAGAATTAAATTGTAAGTTAACTGTACTACGGGTGGGGATAGAACCCTCGGTCAGAGAGAATTAAATTGTAAGTTAACTATACTACGGGTGGGGATAGAACCCTCGGTCAGAGAATTAAATTGTAAGTTAACTATACTACGGGTGGGGATAGAACCCACGGTCAGAGAGAATTAAATTGTAAGTTAACTGTACTACGGGTGGGGATAGAACCCACGGTCAGAGAGAATTAAATTGTAAGTTAACTGTACTACGGGTGGGGATGAAACCTCGGTCAGAGAGAATTAAATTGTAAGTTAACTATACTACGGGTGGGGATAGAAACCCACGGTCAGAGAGAATTAAATTGTAAGTTAACTGTACTACGGGTGGGGATAGAACCCACGGTCAGAGAGAATTAAATTGTAAGTTAACTATACTACGGGTGGGGATAGAACCCACGGTCAGAGAGAATTAAATTGTAAGTTAACTATACTACGGGTGGGGATAGAACCCACGGTCAGAGAGAATTAAATTGTAAGTTAACTGTACTACGGGTGGGGATAGAACCCACGGTCAGAGAGAATTAAATTGTAAGTTAACTATACTACGGGTGGGGATAGAACCCTCGGTCAGAGAGAATTAAATTGTAAGTTAACTATACTACGGGTGGGGATAGAACCCTCGGTCAGAGAGAATTAAATTGTAAGTTAACTATACTACGGGGGGGATAGAACCCACGGTCAGAGAGAATTAAATTGTAAGTTAACTATACTACGGGTGGGGATAGAACCCACGGTCAGAGAGAATTAAATTGTAAGTTAACTATACTACGGGTGGGAATAGAACCCACGGTCAGAGAGAAAACTCCAGACCGACGCGCTACTGGCCCAGTAACTAGCGCGTCGGTCTGAAGGTTGATGACTCTCTGACCGTGGGTTCTATCCCCACCCGTAGTATGGTTAACAATCGTGTCATTACGATTTCGTGAGACAAACTGGTAAGTCGACAGTCACTCAATCCAGCATCAATAAAAAAAATACTTAAAATAAAGATACATCAGCTGCCGAAATAGGTTTAATAAAATTGGGAAATTGATTTTTTCACAGCTCAAAGTGAGCTGTGTTTTAATAGTCTACGGCGAAAATTTGAAGCCAATCGGAAAAGGCGTTTTCCAGTAAATGGCTCACAAAGTCGTAATAACACGATTGCAAATAAACCTGGAAACGGGCGGTGTTTGAACCCATGGCAGGTGAGTCGTAAAACTCCCGGCCAGTGTGTTAACCACTGGGCCAGCTGGCTCTAATAAGATTCATCCAACTATTTATATTTCTATACACCATGGGCAGGTTAGCATGGGCCACCACTATAACCACAAATACAAGTCTTTAATAATAACTATCGCACACCAGTAGTGGCCCATGCTAACCTTCCTACAGTGTATAGAGAAATGTCTAGTTGGCGGAATATTATTCTAGCCAGTTGGCCCGGTGGTTAACGCACTGGCCTGGAGTGTTGAGACTCACCATGGGTTCAATCCCCGCTCGTTCAGTAAAATTTTAAGTTGGCATCCACTGAGATTAAATTTATGGAGCATCATTATCTCACAAAATAAATCATCATAAATGGGTTGAAGACGATCCGATGGCGTGTATCTTGCGTTCTGGAAGCCACAGCAGTAATGAAAATTTGCTGCCGAGCTGAAGACTCATTCTCCAGTTATGGCTTAAAATGAGACACTTGTACAAAATCTGGGAAGTGTCTCGTTCATCAACTTGTCGATTTTTTAATCCATTTATCAGTCTCCGGCTATGCCACGGATTCCAACTATTCCATAATTTTATTAACTATTTCGCCATGTCAACAAATTTGGCTGCACACAACTTAATGGATACTATCCTGGTCGTAAGATGCACCAGCCATTAAATATTGAAGCCGTTCAAAAGTAAACAGAAACTTATTTAAGACGATTTACTGGGAATTCAATTTAGCTAAAAGGCCACAGATGCAACTAATGTGACATTTTATTGTGGAAACGTTTCGCTCTCCAGGAACTCCAGGACAAAGGTCCGTCATCGAATTAGGAAGAACCTTTAATGAACGTTCGCAGCACAACACTGAGGGATGTTGGAAATGGTGTCAACTTTAGTCATAGTTCACGTGAACATGCCAATTGTTCCAAGAATCTGGCCTCACTTGTTCCAAGAATCTGGCCTCACTTGTTCCAAGAATCTGGCCCCACTTGTTCCAAGAATCTGGCCTCACTTGTTGCAAGAATCTGGCCTCATTTGTTCCAAGACTCTGGCCTCACTTGTTCCAAGAATCTGGCCCCACTTGTTCCAAGAATCTGGCCTCACTTGTTCCAAGAATCTGGCCTCACTTGTTCCAAGACTCTGGCCTCACTTGTTCCAAGAATCTGGCCCCACTTGTTCCAAGAATCTGGCCTCACTTGTTGCAAGAATCTGGCCTCATTTGTTCCAAGACTCTGGCCTCACTTGTTCCAAGAATCTGGCCCCACTTGTTCCAAGAATCTGGCCTCACTTGTTGCAAGAATCTGGCCTCATTTGTTCCAAGACTCTGGCCTCACTTGTTCCAAGAATCTGGCCCCACTTGTTCCAAGAATCTGGCCTCACTTGTTCCAAGAATCTGGCCTCACTTGTTGCAAGAATCTGGCCTCATTTGTTCCAAGACTCTGGCCTCACTTGTTCCAAGAATCTGGCCCACTTGTTCCAAGAATCTGGCCTCACTTGTTGCAAGAATCTGGCCTCATTTGTTCCAAGACTCTGGCCTCACTTGTTCCAAGAATCTGGCCCCACTTGTTCCAAGAATCTGGCCTCACTTGTTCCAAGAATCTGGCCTCACTTGTTGCAAGAATCTGGCCTCATTTGTTCCAAGACTCTGGCCTCACTTGTTCCAAGAATCTGGCCCCACTTGTTCCAAGAATCTGGCCTCACTTGTTCCAAGAATCTGGCCTCACTTGTTCCAAGACTCTGGCCTCACTTGTTCCAAGAATCTGGCCCCACTTGTTCCAAGAATCTGGCCTCACTTGTTCCAAGAATCTGGCCTCACTTGTTCCAAGAATCTGGCCTCACTTGTTCCAAGAATCTGGCCTCACTTGTTCCAAGAATCTGGCCTCACTTGTTCCAAGAATCTGGCCTCACTTGTTCCAAGAATCTGGCCTCACTTGTTCTAAGAATCTGGCCTCACTTGTTCCAAGAATCTGGCCTCACTTGTTCCAAGAATCTGGCCTCACTTGTTCCAAGAATCTGGCCCCAGTGACAGTGCTCAAACGTTGAAATTTAAGAGTTATTTACCCGATGGCTTCTCGAGTTATAAGCAAAAAAACTAGAAAATAAAGGACGGAAAAAAAAACATGCCACAACTCAGGGTACCCTTTAATGGAATACCTAATAATAATAATAATAATCTCTCATTTACTCGTTTTCTCATATGCTGTGACCCTAATAAATATATCTTTTGTATACTAATTGGTGGTATGTGCACTTACACAGGAGACGGGGCTGTGGAGATCAGTACTGACAGTACATATGAAGAAAGCCAGTGACTTCGGCCAGTATCGATGCCTAGTCCGCAATCGTCTGGGCACTGACCAAGTCTTCTTCCATGTTACTGGTAAGCTGAGAGCCTGGTCGTCAATGCACAACTTTAATTCATGCTTCATGGCTGATTTTTACCTATATTTTCTTATTTACTCCTTATTTTTTAAAAATAATACCGTGTATATAATTTTGTAATCAAGATGAGTAGCTTAGACATTTAAAAAGACTAGTCTTGCATGTGTACAAGATTAACATGACTTTAACCGAATGTGATACAATTCCAACATTTGGGAATGTTTATTGTGAAAACGTTTCTCCAGCCACTGTTTGGCGAAACGTTGGACTGAAGAAGCCACTGACTTAAGAAATCGTAATGACACGATTTCAAATAAACCATACCCCCGGCCGGGATTGAACCCGCGGTCATAGAGTCTCAAAACTCCAGCCCGTCGCGTTTTGAGACTCTCTGACCTCGGGTTCAATCCCAGCCGGGGGTATGGTTTGTTTACAATCGTGTCATTACGATTTCTTAAGTCATGTTGACGGCAGTGAAGGGACCTGAGCTAGAGTTCGTCACGGCCACGCTAGCTGGAGATTCGTCTGTAAAAACTTGCATTTGTGGTCACAGTGGTCCCTGTGCTAACTTTCCTATGGTGTAGAAATATACCTAGTTGGATGAATCTTATTGTGGCTAGCTGGTCTAGTGGCTAGCGCGACGGGCTGGAGTTTTGAGACTCTATGACCGCGGGTTCTATCCCAGCCGGGGGTATGGTTTATTTGCAATCGTGTCATTACGATTTCTTAAGTCAGTGGCTTCTTCAGTCCAACGTTTCGCCAAACAGTGGCTGGCGAAACGTTTCCTCACTAAAGATACCCAAATGTTGCATGTCATTTTTCCATAATCCTGATGGATTGTGAAATAGGAAAATAAAAGAAAGTTAACTAGCTTGGCTTCCTTTGAGGTCCTCTGACCCTCTAACCCAGAATATTATCCATTTTTTTTTTTTTTTTGGCTAACTAGCTGGCAGGAGAAGAGGGGCAAGTGATAGAAAATAGGTTTACAGTCTCCACCAATCCCGTTACTGAGTTAGGAGCAACAACGTAGAAAAAAATCATCCCTATTAAGCGCTATTTTATGCAAATTAGGGAGGGTATTCGAAAACCTCTGAATGGTATACAAAATGCCAGAAAATATTTTCCAAACGTCAAGAAAAAGTGCCTCAGAGTGATCATATCAAAACATATGGGTGGTACTTTGGTATGCGATCTATATAGCCAACGTCATCTACAGGAGTCAAATTAGGTTAGATTAGGCTATGTTCTTGTTGTAGATCTCATACCAAAGTTGCTTCTTGACACGTAGATCTCACACCAAAGTAGCTTCTTGACACGTAGATCGCATACCAAAGTAGCTTCATGACACGTAGATCTCACACCAAAGTAGCTTCTTGACACGTAGATCGCATACCAAAGTAGCTTCATGACACGTAGATCTCACACCAAAGTAGCTTCTTGACACGTAGATCTCATACCAAAGTAGCTTCTTGACACGTAGATCTCATACCAAAGTAGCTTCTTGACACGTAGATCTCATACCAAAGTAGCTTCTTGACACGTAGATCTCATACCAAAGTTGCTTCTTGACACGTAGATCTCATACCAAAGTAGCTTCTTGACACGTAGATCTCATACCAAAGTAACTTCATGACACGTAGATCTCATACCAAAGTTGCTTCTTGACACGTAGATCTCATACCAAAGTAGCTTCTTGACACGTAGATCTCATACCAAAGTAACTTCATGACACGTAGATCTCATACCAAAGTAACTTCATGACACGTAGATCTCATACCAAAGTAACTTCATGACACGTAGATCTCATACCAAAGTAACTTCATGACACGTAGATCTCACACCAAAGTAACTTCATGATACGTAGATCTCACACCAAAGTAACTTCATGATACGTAGATCTCACACCAAAGTAACTTCATGACACGTAGATCTCATACCAAAGTAACTTCATGACACGTAGATCTCATACCAAAGTAGCTTCTTGACACGTAGATCTCACACCAAAGTAACTTCATGACACGTAGATCTCATACCAAAGTAACTTCATGACACGTAGATCTCACACCAAAGTAACTTCATGACACGTAGATCTCATACCAAAGTAGCTTCTTGACACGTAGATCTCACACCAAAGTAGCTTCTTGACACGTAGATCTCACACCAAAGTAGCTTCTTGACACGTAGATCTCACACCAAAGTAACTTCATGACACGTAGATCTCACACCAAAGTAGTAACAAATTATGTCCCGAAAAGATGACATCAGGTATAATTTTCTCAGCATGTACGAGGCTAGAGGAAAAAAGAATTGCCTTCTGGAACATAACCTAAGAAACTTGTACGGGGCTGAACACGGCCTATGTCAAACCAATGATGGTGAAGTATAAGTCACGACTTGGAAGACATCACCGGGACAAAGTATACGCTTGAGAAGCTGATGTTTGCAACTATACTATTGGAGCTTAATATGTGAAAAATTAAGTCAGGTTTGTGGTTGTACTTCGCTCGATCATGTTACTATTCACGGAGATGTGGAACAACAAACTGCTAAAAGAAACGAAATCTACTGCAGTCGCTGCGCAATCCGAAGAAGGTATCCCCTTATTGCATAACCCATCCCCTGTAACTTATTGCATAACCCCAGTCCCCTGTAACTTATTGCATAACCCCAGTCCCCTGTAACTTATTGCATAACCCAGTCCCCTGTAACTTATTGCATAACCCCAGTCCCCTGTAACTTATTGCATAACCCCAGTCCCTGTAACTTATTGCATTAACCCCAGTCCCCTGTAACTTATTGCATAACCCAGTCCCTGTAACTTATTGCATAACCCCAGTCCCCTGTAACTTATTGTATAACCCCAGTTCCCTGTAACTTATTGCATAACCCCAGTCCCCTGTAACTTATTGCATAACCCCAGTCCCCTGTAACTTATTGCATAACCCCAGTCCCCTGTAACTTATTGCATAACCCGTCCCCTGTAACTTATTGTATAACCCCAGTTCCCTGTAACTTATTGTATAACCCCAGTCCCCTGTAACTTATTGTATAACCCCAGTTCCCTGTAACTTATTGTATAACCCCAGTCCCCTGTAACTCATTGCATAAACCCAGTCCTCTGTAACCTATTACATAACCCCAGTTCCCTGTAACCTATTGCATATCTCCAGTTCCCTGTAACTTAATGCGTGCGATGGGATGGTGCGGAGTGTGGTATAAGTTTGTGCGGAGTGTGGTATAAGTTTGTGCGGAGTGTGGTATAAGTTTGTAATTGTTAGAAATATAAACTTGAGATAAACCTGAAGAGTCATTAGTCATCAGGTGGAAACTAATATCCAAATTTCTTCAAAAATTGTGATTGAGAGATATATATATCCGAAATCTAGTTCAAGCAGCCCATTAACTAACACCACTTTTGAAGCTAAACTGAAGAGGCATTCTCTCGTTATCTCTAAGAGAACAATATCCTAAAATACACAAGCACATCATCCTTGAAGCCGCTCAGAAACTGCATTATCAGGGAAACAGTACTTAAGGATTGAAGCTAATCCGATGCGTCACTCAGAAAGAATCGCGTGAAAAGCAGTAATTCAAATGTCCCATAAGAAAAGGCAAACTAAAACCATTACAGACCAAAATTAATCCAATTGAAATATAAGACACATGTGAAACATCTGATTATCCTTATTTGTAGACGTTTCGCCATCCAGTGGCTTTATTAATACAAATTGAAGGAGGACATATTGGGAAGACAGTAGAACTACAAGATGAGGTAGTGAGTCTCTCACCCTTGGAGTTGAATAGTACCATAATTCATCATGTTGGTATTGTATACCATTCATATACAGTACCAATCTTCTAAATAAGATACATCACTACTGAAATACCGAAATCGATCAAATGTGAATCTTTTGATGATATCTCACAGAAATCAGTTTTCAGATTCTCCACGAACATTCTCCTAGTAACAGTCGACCACAGTTAAAATTTTGAAGGTGATTGGATAAGGCATTCTGAAGTTATCAGTAAAAGCTTTGAACACTGTAGCTAACAGTGCGGCTGTAGTATCAAATTCTGTAGTATATAAGGGTTCACTAAACTCTTAAATATTAAAAAATGCTTTAAAAATTCTAGCATTATATATTCTTCAATTTTCTTTATCCAGTTCGATTATATTTAAAATTCTTCAATACAAGGAAGAAATTCTTGTTTAAGAAAGTCCAATTTGACATAATCTATAAAACTGCCAGACTGGTGCGTACTAAAACCCTAATTCAATAAAAAAAGGTCCATTTAAGGTATACTAATACTTAAATGTCTGAAGGCGACCAGATGTGCAACACTTGGGTATCTTTACTGAGGAAACGTTTCGCCACACAGTGGCTTCATCAGTCCATACAAAGGAGAATGGCGAAGAACAGGAGGAATTTGAGGTAATCAATCCCTCAGCCTTGAGTCAATGTAATCAGTCCATCAATCTTGAAAAGAATACAGCATATGTGCGAAGAAGTAGCTTATATACTATAGGCGGGAGAGGTACAGCAGTCGTAGGTGGTGTCATATTTGATCAATGTGGAAGTAGGTCATTCCCAAGGGTTAGGCAAGTGAAGAATTCCCTGTATTAAGGATTATACTCGCGCACAATGTCTTGTCATATTCAACCGCTTATGATGTATCTAACTCCATTTTTTACCTGTTGTGTGTGTTGTGTCCAGTACCTGCTGGTGCACTCTCTCCCGTAGGTTTTCTGGTAGTGGCCCAGTTACAACTGAGGCTTCTTTAAATTGTACGTCATTTCGCAGATTTCAATTCATTTCTCGTGTTTTTTTTTTCCTTCTTCAGTTGAATTACCTGGTTTTTTTACTGTTGTTTTTCTCCTGGTGTGGCTGTGAAGCAGTTAGGTTCTGACTTGGCCTTGTTACTGTCATTTTCAAATTGTCACTAGCATTTTTTTTCTCACCTTTGCATATTTATTTCAGCTACTCTGCTCATTTTCTC